GTCCTCCAAGAAGGAACGGAGCCAGGCAAGAGCAAGGCCACCAATTCCCAAAGCAGAGAGCCTCCCGAGGAGAATACCGTGGTCGACGGTATCAAAGGCAGCTGAGATATCGAGAAGGACCAGCAGAGACATTTCGCCCCTGTCGGCCTCCCTCAGCAGGTCATCAAACAGGGCGACCAATGCTGTTTCCGTGCTGTGGCGCAGTCTGAAGCCTGACTGGAATGGGTGCAGGGCATTGGTTTCATCCAGAAGACCCTGCAGCTGATTGGCCACCACCCTCTCGACTACCTTGCTGAAAAAAGAAACATTGGCGACAGGCCTATAATTACCAATATTGTCCGCTGCCAAGCTCAGTTTCTTCCTAATGGGCCTAATGAGTGTCTCCTTGGCACATACACTATCAGTCTGAAGCCTGACTGGAATGGGTGCAGGGCATTGGTTTCATCCAGAAGACCCTGCAGCTGATTGGCCACCACCCTCTCGACTACCTTGCTGAAAAAAGAAACATTGGCGACAGGCCTATAATTACCAATATTGTCCGCTGCCAAGCTCAGTTTCTTCCTAATGGGCCTAATGAGTGTCTCCTTGGCACATACACTATCTATTTTTTAAGGCTAGTAGTCAATCTATTTGTAATGTTTCTAAGTTTTATTTGTGGAAAGCAAAAAGGTGAAAGCGCTAAAATCAAAATATTGCCAGGAGAAAGTGTTTGATCTTGGACTGCCTGTGCCTGTTTCCCTTGGTCAACTTCTCACCAGGCCCTGCTTAAATTTTATTTTTGGCTAATGATCCCCTTGTGTTCTCATAAACTGTGTTCCCTCTGTTTAGAAAAGGGGAACAATTATAATGCAGTGTTATCAGAAATCACAACAATATAAATGAGTACAAAATAACAAATGTATGAGTACGTTTTATCATGTTATGGGTGAATTAAAGCACTTTGCTGAAATTTAAAGGTAACTGTTAAGTACTTGTCGGCCATTTAAATTCTTTACAGTCCTTGACAAAAATGTTTCAAAGGATAGAATGAGTCTAATTGTTATAAAGTAAATGGGTAAAATACTGCCCATTAATTTTCCCTATATCTCTGTTGGTAAAATGATTATATAAACGCATTAAAAGAAAAAAGAAAAGCAAGAAAGCTAAACATTCCATGGGAAGAGGCAGGGTAAATTCAACAGGCCATATTCCCACAGAATCTATCCCAGCTATGGCTCTAGCTAGAGGCAGCGCACACACAGCATAGAAAAGTAGGTGACACAGGATGCTAACATGACTCAGGTGAGAGAATTAAAACACACAATCTACACACGTTATTTTGCAATTGCTAGAGAAGGGGCTGCCCCATTATATCTCAAAGGCTAGCCCCTTCCTTTCATAGTTTTGCCTGTGAAGTCTCAGGGAGCGGAAAACTGCTGTCCAAGCAACCCTACCATCCAGGGAAGAGACCTGGTTACATTCTGTGAGCTAGACTTCCCCACAAATCATCCCAGCCACAGCTGTGGTTCTAGGTCATGGCTATATACAGTATTAAAGAAGTGTAGGTTATGCATGTTTTGACACATTACACTAGTAAGATGGTTTAGTAATAGAACACACAATTTTTTTCTTTGAAGATAATATTTCAAACCATGCAAACAAAACAAGAGGAGGCCTGTTGGCCCATCCAAGCTCCAGGTCTGGCCTTCAAGATGTATTGTTTTTTTTGGGGGGGGGCAGGTCTGATATTGCCGATTCTCCCCCCCTCCCACACACATACTTTGCCAGCTAGAGCAGATCATCTAAAGGGACATCTGTGTACACCAGGGGTCTCAAACTCAGTTTACTTGGGGGCTGCTGGAGGCAGAGGCTGGGTGAAGCTGGGCCGCATCGGATTTTCCGCCAAGTGGAGCAAGAGCCTGCGGAAGCCGCCCAGGAGTTTCCTTAGCCTGGCTGGGGCTCCGAGGAGGAGGAGGAAGCACTGCCGGGTGCTGAGGCGGCCGCTGGCCGAGCTGTTGCTGGGGGTGCTGAGAGAGAAAGAGCCAGAGAGCTGCTTCCCTGGAGGAGGTGGTGGCGGCGGCTGCTGTTGGTGGCACTCTTTGAGGACAGGCTGGGAGGGAGCTCCGCTCTCAGGCATTGCTTAGTGGCAGCTCAGGTGTTCAGGGAAAAGGGCCGATAGTGCGCCTTGCTCGCTGGCTCTCCCCCAAGACACTGCCACAGCTGACTTTGTCTTAGTAATCCTTACATTTCATCAAGTCTTTTTACTGCAGTCTTAAGTCAATGTATGTTTTAGAATTCAGATTTACACAGAGGTTTTCCCAGAATCTGGCCCATGATACGCTCCTCTCCCTTCACCAGTATTGTGCATATAGGTCCTCCTTCCCTGCCTGAGTGACGTGCTGCCAGTCCTTTTCCCCAAGTGCTTGAGCCGCCGCCGAGCGATGCCTGAGAGCGGAGCTCACTCCCAGCCTGTCCTCAAAGAGGACACATGATCTGAATTAATGTGAATAACAAATCTGTTACAGAGAGCTGCCAAGGCAGAGCTGCACTAAACTGTCAGTTGTCTAAAAAGCAGAACAGCTTTGAAGTTTCACACAACTGACATTTCCTTTTCCCCAAGTGCTTGAGCCGCCGCCGAGCGATGCCTGAGAGCGGAGCTCACTCCCAGCCTGTCCTCAAAGAGGACACATGATCTGAATTAATGTGAATAACAAATCTGTTACAGAGAGCTGCCAAGGCAGAGCTGCACTAAACTGTCAGTTGTCTAAAAAGCAGAACAGCTTTGAAGTTTCACACAACTGACATTTTATTGAAAGGAAAAAACTGTTTTGTCCTGAAAGACTACTTGCCCTGGCAGAAAAACTGGTCCACCAACTTGGTGAGTCACACACAAGACAATAATTGTCGCTACCTCTTACTGATCATTGCAACGGCCTCAAAAGAAGTAGTTTTTAATCTCCAGAGAAAAGGAGGCCACCAAAGAAAGAGTGGTTGGCGTTAGTCTGTTGAGGTAAAAACAAAGTTTTCTGATGCATCAAAAGCTAAACAAATAGGCTATGTGTGCAGCAGCTACCTAGGCAAGCAGGTGTATTATGTATACTATAAGTCCACAGGTTGGGGGTGGGGGAGAGAGAACAGGTTCTTTACAAAGGAAGGCCAGATGGTCAAGCACTCCAAGAGACATCTATGGGTGTGTCCCAGCACTGTGCTGGATGCAACCAATTTCACAAGGTGTGCAACCTGGACTCAGCAAGACCTGGGAGTGCCTTGCTTACTGCAA